GCTCAAAGGCGTATAGATTTCTAGATGGTGATAGAAGCGTTGTAATTTCTAGGTCTGCCAGTTTCAATGAGGGGGAGAACTGGGACAAAGTACACGCAAATTCACAATTATACATTCCACTGAGTGAAAAAAGAAGAAGTCAGTTTAGACAGAAAGAAACACATGAGCAAGACACAAGGTCCTCTGCTGATGAAGATGGAGAAGATGAAGATGGAAAAGATATTGAAGAACACGAAGAACACGAAGAAACACACGCTAGCGAGGTTAGTGAGACAGAGGCACAGACAGAAACACAAGGTCCCAGAAGGTCCCAAAGGACAAACAAGGGTATACCACCCAAGAGGTTTGGAATGGGTGGTGTGAGAGTGTGTCATGTTTATATAGAACCAAAAAATTACAAAGAAGTTTTAGAACTTCCTGCTTTTGAAAAAAGAAAATGGTTAGGGACCATGGATGAGAAAATGGAGGACATGAAGAAATGTAAGGTGTTCACAGATGCAAAGATGCATACAGAACACACAGAGGTTACAGGTAACAAGTATGTGTTAAAATTAAAAGTTAAAAAATAATGTGTAAATGTGTTGGGATTATGCTGTGTTCAGGCATAAAAAATTAGGAGGGGTGTCAGGGTATAGAATTTTATAGGCCTGAACCCATATATGTTTCATTAACGAGCTGCCATTATGTGCAGATGAGAGAAAAGCTGAATCATCCTAAGCTGATGCAATGAGGTGAAACCAGAAAGAGCCCAGGTGCAGAGATGAGGTCACCTGGAACCCGATTGGACTGGACAGAGACAAGATTATGTATAAATATGGACTGTGTCTGTGATATTTTCTCTTCTTCTGATGTGATTTTCTGCCACGCATGCTGTCGGACTGTATGAAGACTTCTAGATGTGCTGTAGAGACCTGCCTGTATTTAAGTGTACATATATGTAAATATAACTGTCAAAGAAGAGCTGGTAAAGTGTCTTCATTTACTCTGCGCCAGAAGCGTAACATAGTTATATTACAGCTTAAATGAGTGAGCTTCTGAATATTTGTTCTGGATTCTTTTTTAAATATACTTTTAAAATATTTTCAATATCTTTAGTGTTTATTTTTTAATATGGTATTTGTGTCTCTGTTTTTAGAACCAGACACAGAATGTCCTTGCAAACATGAATCTGATAACCCTGCTTGGCCAAGGAGGAGTTAAAAAGTTAACTAAGAGTCAACAAACTGGATCTTGATTTGATAGGGTCAATATGTTAGATTGACCCAGAATTGGATTTGATTTCCCCTTTCAAAACTTGTGTGAGGAGACTGATCTAAGGAATCCTGAGAGAATGTTTACTTGAAATATCTCCCTCCTCCAACTATGAATGTATACCATGTTTCATTTTGCCAAGTTCTGTACCATGAATGCTCAGTGTACAAATAAAGTGCCATTTTGCTTTTTTGAAAGGCCTTTTTTTTGAGGATCAGTATTTAAGTCGCTGCAGCCTGGATTCTTTCCTAATTTTAAAAATTGGTGGGGTGAACCATTCTCTTTCTAATTTTTTTTATTTTTTAAAAGAAATACAGAAAAAAAACCTAGTAGCACACAAAAATACAGAACTAAAAAAGCCTTAATACACACATAGACAAAACAACCTATCCAGTTACATAATACATCCCTCCACCAGGACCATTTGAAGATAGACTGAATCAGTTTTCCCACTATGAAGACCCACTTCCCTTCCAAAACTGCATAAATTCTTTCAGAGGCACACAGCCCTTCACATAACCAGTGTAAACTACCCAAATATAACTGAAAATACTTTTTTACCAAACCATTTTCAACCTTGCTGCTCTTAATAAATTTGTTACTAATTCTTTTACTGCCCATTGTTTCATATCAAATATTGTTTACACTGCAATTCTAGGACTTCAATATTTCATTAACTTCTTTAAAAACCAGCCTCCAAAATTTCAATATACAGTGGTGCCCCACTTGCCGATTACCTTGTTAGAAGAGGAAATTGCTTTACGATGAAGTTTTTGCAATCGCTTTTGTGATTGCAAAACAATGTTTTAATAAGGAAAACCGTTTTACGACGATCGGTTCCCTGCTTTGGGAGCCGATTTTTCGCTTAACGACAATCTTTACAGCTGATTGTCGAGTCTTCAAAATGGTCGCCCACTGTGCAAAATGGCTCCCCGCTGTGTTTTAGGATGGATTCCCTGCATTACAGGCACGGGAAGATGGCTGCCCTATGGAGGATCTTCACTGGATGCTGAGGTATTTCGCCCATTGGAACACATTGAACCGGTTTTCAGTGCATTTCAATGGAATTTTTACTTTCGCTTGACAACAATTTCGTTCTATAGCGATTTTGCTGGAACGGATTATCCTCATCAAGCGAGGCACCACTGTATTCTTGCATTCCCATCAAATATGGAGATAAGTATCTACATCTTGAAAACATCTCCAGCATAAATTGGGATGTTTCCTTTGCTGTTAGTATCATCTTTTTCACTGGTGTTAGATACTATTTCCAAACTAATTTATATATTTTTTATTCTTGACATACACTTTAATATTCTTTCATCTCAAATATTTTTCCATATTTCAGTACTTACTTCCCTTCCCCATAATACTAATAATATCATGTGGTGCTCCATTTCTATCAACATCTGATAAATTTTACTTGTTATCCTCTACATTCATTTATCATCCGTCAATACCATCTCTTCAAATGTTGTAAAATTCCTACACTTCCATTTTTTCATCCACTTAGTCCATTGTACCTATTGGATCATATTAAAACAGGATAACTCCCGCCTTCCAACCCTACTCTTATTTACTCCTTATTACTCATCTTCTTAAGCCTCTTTTAATCTATTAAATTTTTTCTTCTTTAATAATTTTCTAAACTCTCTTAAATTTCTTGGGAATTTCTCTAATTCTACTATAGGATATAATGGAGACATTGAAGAAACAAATGTCTTCCTAAGCTTATTCCAAATTTGGAACATTTGGAAGTAGGGATTTTCTATTGTTTTTACAAAGGTCATATTTTGTTTAAAAAGAGTATCTTCAAAAAAACGTATCATTTCTTTAAATTAAAACTTTGCCCATATTAAATTATCAGGCTGAGATTTAATATCCAACATATGTCCCATTTTATTGGTTACATAATATAACTTTGTATCAGGAAGATCTAATGCTCCTTATTTTTGTGATCTACACCATCTTTTTTTAATCAACCCCCGCTTTTAAAAACCACCATTACAAATGTTATTAATCATATTTTGCCATTCTTTCAACTCTTCTTAATTGGCAGCATAATAAACAAAAAAATAATCTTAGATAAAAATTTCATTTTACCATTATCTTTCAAGATAAGCAAGACTGGTCTTTTCAATTCACTTGAACAATTTAAAATCAGGGGATATTTAGGGTAATCTATTTTAAAATGGCGGAGATCAATTTTTTTATTGTAATTGAAATCCTTTTCTCCACATTTCCCCAAATGTGGCCCAGAGTATGAGCCAACTGCTCCAACTGTGCCAAATTTGGTGCTCATTCTAAAGCCCAGTTTAAAAGTTTTAATTTTTTTCCTTGGTCTGCCTCTATTTTTAGAATTGCTCTAGAGAATGTTTATTTGCTTGGCCAGAACAAGATCACTGCTGCACTTTTGTGCAGGCTTCACCTGCAGACATCTACAAACAGGAATACAAGCAATCAAGAGAACTTCCATTTATAGAAAAATTAGTTGTGCCATTCTTAAACAGTACATACACTGCTTTACATGTTAATTTTGTTTTTGTAATGTAGTCAAACATGCTAATTATAATTAAACAAAGCTAAGAAAGCTAATGGTTGAGTACAGTGGTGCCTCGCTTAACGGGCACTCCGTTTAGCAACGAAACCACATAGTGATGAAGATTTTGCAATCATAAAAGCGATCGCTTTGCGATGTTTCCTATGGGGTCTTTTCACTTTGCGATGATCGGTTCCCTGTTTCGCTTACCGATCATTGCAAAGCAGTGATTTTTCAACGGCTGATCAGCAGTTCCAAAATGGCCGTTGGGTAAAAAAAATGGCTGCCCGCTGTGTTTTTGCACGGATTCCTCGCTTAAGAGGCAGCGGAAATGGCTGCCGTATGGAGGATCTTCGCTTTAAGGTCATTAAACAGGTTTTAATGCATTTCTATGGGCTTTTTAAACTCGCATAGTGACGAAATCGCTTAGCAGCGATTTTTGCTGCACGGATTAACATCGCTATGTGAGGCACCACTGTAGTTTAAATCATTATTTACCAGCTAACTGGAATAGCTAATGATTCCCATTCTCTGCTTCTTTCCACCAACCACTGATGAATGAACATCTGTTCTGTTTTTTTTTCCTGACAAATGTATAAACAAAGTATTTTCATAGCTAACAGCTCAGTTGTAAAAAACACAAAATAGGCATATTTTTAGGACTGTAGTTTGCTACATGTAGGATGACACATGGGAACATTTTAACATATTCACCATAAGAGCAAAGGCTGAATTTATTTGCCTATCCGTTTAATCAGCATCACCCTATAATATACACTTTTCTTGTTATTTTCTGACCAAAGACACCCAGGGCCAATGTAAAAGGCAAATTAAGAAGTATCAAATGGGATTTAAAATTTTTTTTAATGAAAGGCAACTTCAAGAAAAAAAGTATTTAACAGTAGAACGGATTGGCGAAAATCCTTCTACTATATTTGAATAGCATTTAATCAGCAAGCTTTTAGAACAACGTGGTCAGTTTATACTTTCCCTCATTCAAATGAAAACATTACCACAGACAAGTCCTTAAAGCTGCATTTATTTGTTTGTTTATTACAGCTGCTCTCATGGCAGAGAATTCAACATCATTAGTGGGTCTATATAGAAGATACAGGGGAATATGGTTGCTATGCAACTACAGTTAAGCATATACTTTCTGAGGCTCACAAGATTATGTGGAGAACAATAATTGGCTCTGTTGTGTTAACATATCAGACTATGAAACTGATGCTGATGGGAATGTTTCATATACTGTTTTTCAAAGCTAAAATTGTAGTCAGTGATAAAAAATAGGCGACAAAACATTATGGGAGAAATTACTACTGAGCAATATATATTGTTATTCAAATGTATTCACCATAAAGTTGAATACATCTGAGCCTTAAAAATAATATTATGGGGTACAAATTAAGTTTGAAACAATAAAGGGAGAAGCATCAACACAATCTGACATGTTTTCCCCAGCACAAACAATTAAACTCCTCACCTTCGAAATCAGAGTGAAACACTGTGGAAATGATATGACACTAGATAGTTTAGAGGATTCTGAATCATGGAGCAAAAAAGACCTACTCATTATACTCCAAAGAGGAACTGTTAGCACAAGATGCAGACTGTAAGTAAAGTGCATGAGAAGAAGCCTGCTGAATGAAATGAAGTAAAGGTAACAACTCAAATCATTCACCAGAGCGGCAGCAGGCTCGGAAACCACACTGTAAGTTCTGGCATCCACTGGCTGTTTCAGCATGAGGACCTGTGTAAAAACAGAAAAAATATGAAAGGAAGAAAAGGGTAATAATGATACAATATTTTGCGTGGAAAAAACATGTCACTCATTCTTATTGTAGATTAAAAGCTGTATTTGGAATAATAATAATAGTATATGTAACTGTGTTTCACACTAAAATAAATACCTTGGGCTTTTCATACAAGAGGCTAAAACACATAGTTGTATCAGCATTTAGTAGGGCAAAAACCCTGATACACATCTGCATTCAGCTTCTGTATCACTATTTAGATTCTAATCTAAATAGTTCTCAAGCTTTCTAGTTACATGAGCTACTTCAAAAGGCTATAAACTGCATAAGTCCCACAAAACAGAAGTGGGCAGAGACTGATTTTTGTAGCAAAAACTGACATCATTTTGTGATTCTAGTTAATCCCTCCTTAGTAACTACTAAGTTCATCACTATGATTTGATTCTGTAACAGAGTTCAACAGATCAGGTTTTCTCAAGTAAAATACTATACATCTACAGGCTTTTAAAACACCACAATGACATCCCTTTTTAGATTTCTTACTCTTCCCTCTTTTATACTTATTTCCTCCTCCTGCTTTTAAATTCACATTTTCATCCTAGAACAGTTATTTTCACTTATCACTTTCCTGTTTCTCTCCATTTCTAGTTTCCTTTGCAACTTGCTATCTCTTTCCTCACAGAAGGGAAAAACCTTTGTTTCTTGGATTATTTTATCCAAATTATGCCTTCTCAGCTGCTTGTCTCACACCAATCATCCCAAATCACTGCCAATTCTCTGAGGTGAATCAAATAGAGGCAACACACAGGAAAGGAATCTTGCAAAAGAGAACCAGGAGTCCTAGAATGAGAGCGTAAGTGCAGCAAAAAAGCCATGGAAAAGCCAACCACAGCAGACTTCACAGTCCTTCCTCTTTCATAGAATCACAGAATAATGGAGGTGGAAGGGGCATTATAAAGCCATCAAGCCCAACATCCTGTTCAGTTACAGGAATCCAAGTAAAAGTATATCTGAGATGGTTGTCCATCTTTCTCCTGAATGCTTCCAAGCATTGGAGCACTTACGACCTCCAAAGTTAATCGGTTCTATTTCTGTACTGCTCTAACAGGAAGGTTTGTGGGGTTTTTTGATATTCAACTGAAATCTGACTTGAGTCCTTTATTACATTTCTGGTGCAGTGCTCTCTGAACTTGTTCCAGTTTCTCAACATCCGTTTCAGTTTTTTTATATATCAGTCCTTAATATATTTGGATTCTAGTTCTCTTAAGTGATCTTTGGGCTTTTTAGTTGTTTCCATCTTTTTCTTTGTTAAATTATATGATTCTTTAAAATCTTAAACCCTTGCCGTAATTTTCATAGCGTCCCATATTGTCCTTTCTTAATGCCTTCAGTATCATTAATTTTCCAAATTTCCATTAATTCCTTTTCTAATTTTTTTCAATATTTTATGCCTAAAAATGTTTAAATAAATTCTTCATCTCCTTGCCTCTTAAATATTGCCTCATCACTTTAATATCCACAACTATCTTCACATGATCACCTTTATTAGTGATAATAGATAATAAATAATCTATCCTTGAATACCTTTTATTCATCATTAAGTAGAGAAATCTTCTCAGCATCAATTTTCTCCATTAATTCCTATTTACACATATCACTTGGAGTTATAATGTTGTTTCTTCCTTCTCCTTTGGTAGGATTAGTTTTATCATTGTCCATCGCCATATTTAAATTTCCTGCCATTATAACATATCCCTTTCTTCTTTCTGTTGATTTTCAATACCATTTTATAAAATTATCTCTGATTCTCACTAGGCATATAAATATTAACTAATGCATTTCATTAAGTCATATCCGACTCTTCATGACCCCATAGACCAGAACATGCCAGGCCCTCTTGTCTTCCACTGCCTCCCAGATTTGAGTCAAATTCATGTTGGTAGTTCCGATGCCACTATCCAACCATCTCATCCTCTTCTCCTCTTGCCTTCACACTTTCCCAACATCAGGGTCTTTTCCAGGGAGTCTTCTCTTCTCATGAGATGGCCAAAGTATTGGAGCCTCAGCTTCAGGATCTGTCCTTCCAGTGAGCACTTTGATTTCCTTCAAAATGGATAGGTTTGTTGTTTTTGCAGTCCAGGGGACTCTCAAGAGTCTCCTCCAGCACCACAATTTAAAAGCATCAATTCTTTGGCAGTCAGCCTTCTTTATGGTCCAGCTCTCACTTACTTTGTTTTAAAATTCACACTTTTAGACATAACTTGCCACTCCTCTAGATCTTGAATTACCATGTACTTCCCCACAATAATTTTAATTCATTCTCCCTACCTATTTTTGTGAGTTTCCTGTAAAAATATTATATCCGCTTTACCTTTATTTAGCAATTGTTTTTTTTCTTTTAAACAATATTCCCTAAATGTTTTACATTCGCTGTTCTTATACATTTCATATCTCTTCCTTTGTGCCATTTTCTCAAACAACCTAAAAAGCATAATTTTTTTAAATGCCCTACTTAAACTCCATCCAGACTCCCTGCACACATTCCTACTACTCCTATATCCAATATCCTCTTCACTTTCCTTCTTTCTAGGACCTAAACTCCAGATCATTAATAGATTTCAGCAGTCAAGAAAGAAGAAGCATCTGTCTGAGCCCCTGGTGAACATAACCACATTTCCTGAGCCTCTTACCTCTTCATATGACCCTACCCTCCTACATTTTAAATTGACCTAAATTTAATCTATATAAAATACTTCAAATCTAACTCCTTTCTTTATAGAGAACATAGAAATATACCTAGAACTTAGTATTCCTAAAACCTATTGTTCCAGCTAGCTCCTATTTTCACCCCTTTGGTCTATATCCAACATTCCCACTGGACTCCTTTATTTCTTCTCCAACTGAATACATACTATTTAAGAGAAGAGCAGTACAAAAAGAGGAGCAGAAACATTAATTTAAAGGCAAAAGAAAAAGAAATCAACACACTCCTTTATCAGTTCATTCATCAACATAGAATTTATAACTACCTTAAGCCCTTTGGAAAACCCAAAAAATTATATTTATTTTAATACTTTATTTTTAAACAATATATATAATTTACTTCCTCTTCCCCCTTCTCCATTTCTCTTCTTTTCATTTTCTCCTCTCTCCTAAGTTTTTTCCAGCTCTTTTCTTTAGATCTTCCCTACCCATGTCCTTCCCCTGTTCTTTATAATCTTTTGATTTTTTTTAGTAAATCCCTAATATTTCTAGCATTCTACCACTAGCATGAAATGCACAATCTTTTACTTACAATTAGTATACTAAATTGTTTAGTTTAGGGTTACACAAAAGTTACTTAGTAACACAACAGTTACTAAGCCTCCTCCTTCTCAGTACTCTCCTCTCCCTTCACCATTGCTTGCTCAGCTGAAGTGCACGGCTGGATCACTTGAGAGGCCGTGTTCTGAAGGCTGTTCTTCCTAATTATTTTATTTTATTCCATTTATACCCCGCCTATCTGGTCATATTGCGGCTTACAACACACAAAGGGGAAAAAAATACAAGAACAATATATAAATAAAAAGGAATTTGTATATAATTAAAAATTCAATAAGATGGAGATAGAAAACATAATAATGAAGGAAAGAAAAAAGGTCAGGGATTAACTAGGGAGGGAAGGCCTGCCTGAACATCCATGTTTTCAGTTGTATCTTAAAAGTACCCAGTGGGGGAGCCGCGCGAATCCCCGGAGGTAGATTGTTCCAGAGGAAAGGAGCCACCGCCAAGAAGACCTGGTTTCTTTTCCTTCCAGGCCTCCCTCCGCGTCTGGCTCCTCAGCCTCACCTCCTTTCTTGCTGCTCCTCTCCTTCATCTTCTTCAGAACTGGAACTAGAGTTGAAACTTGAATCCCTTTGATTGTCCTCTAATTTTCCAAATTCACATGTCCTTTGCACTTTGTTGACAATTTCTATTTCACATAGCCAATTCAAAATTTGCTCTCATGTTTCCAGATGATAATACTGGCCATTGTGTAAGACTCTTAAGAAAACTGAATAACCCCAATTGTAGTTACCGTATTTTTCGCTCCATAAGACGTACCTTTCCATAAGACGCACCAATTTTTTAGGAGAAGAAAACAGGAAACTATAATCTGTTTTCTTCGCTCCATAAGACGCACAGACTTTCCACCCCCCTGTTTTGTGGGGGAAAAGTGTGTCTTATGGTGCAAAAAATACGGTAATTTATTTCTTCCTTAAGATATGTGGGATAGTTTATATTTGTTTTCTCCATCCTAAGGTTTCAAAACACAAAGTGGGAACAAATTTTTATTGTTGCCTCCTTGAATTTTAATTCCTCTAGTTTCTTTTTAGCACACCGAATAAAGATTTTTTTTTAATGGCTTAAAAATTTGATGACAATTTCTCAGGAAATTATTAGATTTTCTTTTAGGATCCACACAATGTAATCTTTCTACATCTTACCTTGCTCAATCCACCCCGGGGACATAAATTTTCACCTAGACTAAAAAATTCTCCAAAAGATGATTCTTATTGTCTGAACTTCCAGGTACTCCTCTGATTCTCAAATTGCTGTGGCGGGCTCTGTCCTGCATGTCAATCATTTGTTCATGCATCTCATCAAGTTATTAGAAGAAGTACAAGTTCTTGTACTTGTTCTAATAGTTTATCTTCAGTTATCTTCTTTGTCATCTCATCTTGTTCCCGAGCTTCTATTCTTGTCAGCTGATATCAGAAACTGTTACTCAGCCTCTGTTGTTCACTGACTATCTGGAGAGTCTTTGTGCTCTGGGTCTCTTCTAGATATCCACTATTATCATATTCAAGGACCTCCAAATTCTTTAATCCAGATTATGATGACTATATACAAAACATTCTGGCCTGTAATGTGTGGCAATATCCAATAGATAGCACCCTCTGATCAAAAACTGAATTTTAATTAAGTTCAGCAATCACTCAAGAAAAGTTCAGTAGAGGGAGTAGTGCTCAATTGT